GAAATTCGTCAGTCTGTTCCATGCTTCTATTTTTCTGAATATTTTGTTCATCAGTTTATTTTGTTCATTAGATTCCACATATGAGTGAGAAAGAAAGAACTCTTACCACTTCCAACACCATTTTTTTTGTTATATCCATTCCTTGTTGACCTGTTGACTTCTTGAATGCAGATACACACAGATGTATGGTCAGTCATCAACCATAGAAGTGAAGAAACAATTGAACAGATTGTTACTATACCCATGTGACATGAAAGAACCGATAATGAATTTTTAAACCACAAAATATATCATGATTGTCCTGGTTATTCTGGACATATCTTTATGGCTCCCAATAAACTACCTTAAACTGAAAAAAATTCTTAGTATAGTGATTGGAAAGTGTGGAGACCTGGACAAAATTGAATCTCTTCAAAATTGTGAAAATAAGTTTGTGTACAAAATTTTATTATGCTTGACTGAGAAAAATTTCTCTGTAGAGGAAGAAAGAATATCACACCAAAATCTATCTCTGATGGCTACAGTTCAGAATTGTACTCCTGGAAATTTCAGTTTTAGATTTTATAGCTGAAGTCATTTGTTACATACTATGTTATGTATAAGTTTGTTTTATGGTTTCTTTAGATATACTTTTTTAGATGTGTTTTGTAATGCAGCACTTTTTACAGTCCTAACTTAGACATACTATTTCAAATCTCTTTCTCTTTCGAATGGGATTCTTATTTCTATGTGTAATTTGAACTAGTGAACTCTGCAGTATCCTGGAAATAAAAACTAAATCCCACCCTTTTCTTTACATAAAACAGCAACATTTGTCAAAAGCAATATAGACTGTTAAAAAGGGTTTGGGTTTCATAGTCAAGGAGCAGGTGGAAAGGAGCTCCTGGCTTGCAGATTGGTGTGTGACCACCCAGCGCTCAAGGGCAGGGCTGAGGGAGAGGCCTGGGTCTCTGGGTGGGAAGACTGAGCAACACTGGCAGGGAGGAGCCTAGGGGCCATGAGGGTCTGCTTTTCTATATGAGCCTTGAAACTTCAGACAGATGCCGGGCCCCTGCTTCATGGAGGGAGCTTTAGGGCAGGAGTGTGGCTTTGGGAGGACTGTGGCCTTCACCACAGTCCCCTCCTTCACTTACACACACACACACACACACACACACACACACACACACACACACACAATGGCTCTTTGAAGGGAACAGAACTAATTGCAAGGGGGAAGAGAACTCGGAGCAAGGAGTGGTGGTTCTGAGAAAAGAAAAATATTAAGTAAAACAAAACAAAACAAAAAAGTACAGATTCATTTATTAAATAAAAGCATATTTATTCAAAATGTAATATGTATCAATCACAGCTCTAAGTGACAGACATACATAGGCAAACAAAATAGGTGTGCCCTCACATTCTAAAGCTTACTGTCTATGGGGAAGACAGACCATAAGCAGATAATCTCACAAATAAATATAAAATTATAAATTGTGATAAGTACTTTGAGGGAAAAGTAAAGGAAAAATTAGATTAGATGAGAAGGAAGTGACATATAAGCAAAGAGTGAGGGGTGCATAGCAGTTAAGGAAAGAACTAGATTTGAGAAACTGACAGAAAGATGAAGTGGCTGAACCATAGTGGACAAGAAGAATGAGACTAGAGGAAAGTCTATAATGGTTGGCACAGAGCAGATCATAGATGTTCTTGTAAAATATGTTACAATTTTGAATTTTAACCTAAGTGCAATAGAAATCTACTGAAAAATTTTAACTAGGACCTTGGCCAGGTAGCTTAGTTGGTTAGAGCATCACCCCAATACACCAAGGTTGCAGGTTTGATCCTTGGTCAAAGCATCGAACCAAGAATCAACCAATGAATGCATAAATAAGTGGAAAAATAAATCGATGTTTCTCTCTCTCAAATTAATAAATGAAAATAAAAATAATTTCATTGGGGAGTAACATGACCAGAGATGTATTTTTAAAAGACAGCTGCTTTATAGAGACTGGATCAGAATGGGGGAATGGAAAAAGAAGTCATTGTCCTATAGCTCATTTTTTCCTTGATATCTCAGCAATATGAAAATTAACATGTAAACTCAATATTTAATCTCAGTCCAAGATTCTCTGCTCAATTTATATGTTACTGCTTAAAAGGTCCTGGCATCTACTACCATTGTCTCTGACTCAGTTTACTAGTCTACCAATGCCATTCATCATAAGATCCACCTTCTACAGTATCTCACAGATTCAGTCAGTTGAGGTCTCTTACCTAGCAAGATTTGGAATTCAGTTCATCTACTTGCTTCCTGTGAAACCTACAACATGCCAATAAATATTTCTGAGCTCGTTTCCTCATATTTATGATGTTGCTCTAAAGATTAACTGAGATAACTTATGTCAGAGGGTTTTGCAAATTACAAAACACTGTACATGAGTTCACTTATGTTGCCATTTTCATCATAATTTTGTTATGTTAGAGATAGAAGGGGGTTCAAAATACAAAATAATTATAAGACATGGTCTATGTTATCAAGAAGTATACAATAGGGATATCCTATCTAATAAAGGTGGAATATGCTAATTGACCCTCACACCATCACAAAGATGGCAACACCCACAGCCAATAGGAGGAAATATGCTAACTGACTGTCACACCCTCAAAGATGGAGGCGCCCACAGCCACAAGATGGCCGGCATGGGAGGGCAGTTGTGGGCAATCAGGCCAGCAGGGAAGGGCAGTTAGGGGTGACCAGGCCAGCAGGGGAGAGCAGTTGGGGGTGACCAGACCTGCAGGGGATGGCAGTTGGGGGCAACCAGGCCGGCAGGGGAGGGCAGTTTGGGGCAACTGGACCAGCAGAGAAGGGCAGTTTGGGGAGACTGGGCCTGCAGGAGAGGGTAGTTGGGGGTGATCAGGCCAGCAGGGGAGGGCAGTTGAGGGTGATTGAGCCGGCAGGGGAGCAGGCTGGTAGGGGAGTGGTTAGGGGGTGATCAGGCTGGCAGGCAGAAGCTGTTAGGGGCAATCAGGCAGGCAGGCAGGCAGGCCGGCAAGCGGTTGGGAGCCAGCAGTCCTGGATTGTGAGAGGGATGTCTGACTGCCAGTTTAGGCCTGATCCCACAGGGGTCCCAGACTGGTGGAGAGGGTGGCTGGGCTGAGTGACACCCCCACTCCCCGGCCCAGTGCACGAATTTCATGCACCGGGCCTCTAGTATTAAGATACTATCTTAAACAAGTAAATGCTAAAATGCTTGATGCTATCAGAGGACAGGAGAGGGAGATGACTAATATTCATTTAAGGCCTACTGTGTGCCCCTGTGTTGAGTGCTTGACATATGTCATATATATATATAGATTAGATCTAGATCTAGATATATATCTATATCTATATCTAGATATATATAGAGATATAGATATTTAATTTTTTATTGTTTAAATTATTACATGAGTCTCCTTTTTCCCCCATTGACCTCTTCCTGGCAACTCCCACCCCACAGCACATGCCCTACTCATCTACTCTCTGTGTCCATTGGTCCTGCTCCTATGCATGCATACAAGTCTTTTGGTTGATCTCTTACCCCCTCAAACCCTACCTTCCCTCATAGGCTGGACAGTCTGTTCAATGCTTCTATGTCTCTGGATCTATTTTTGTTCATCAGTTTATGTTGTTCATTATATTCCACAAATAAGTGAGATCATGTGATATTTATCTTACTCTGACTGTCTTATTTTGCTGAGCATGATGCTCTCCAGTTCCACCCATGCTGTTGCAAATGTTCAGAATTCCTTCTTTTTTCCAGCAGGGTAATATTCCACGGTACAGATGTACCACAGATTTCTAATCCACTCAACTGCTGATGGGCGCTTAGGCTGTTTCTAAATCTTAGTTACTGTAAATTGTGCTGCTATGAACATAGGGGTGTATATATCCTTTCTGATTGGTGTTTCTGTTTTCTTGAGATATATTCCTAGAAGTGGGATCACTGAGTCAAATGGGAGTTCCACTTTTAATTTTTTGAGGAAACTCCATACTGTTTTCCAAAATGGCTGCACCAGTCTGCATTCACACCAGCAGTGCAAGAGGGTTCCTTTTTCTCTGCATCCTCAATAACACTTGCTGTTTGTTGATTTGTTGATAATAGCCATTCTGAGAGATGTGAGATGGTATCTCATTGTTGTTTTGATTTGCATCTTTCAGCTGCTTAGTGACCTTTAGCATGTTTTAATAGGTCTCTTGGCCTTCTGTATGTCTTCTTTTGAAAAGTGTCTATTTCGGTCCTTTTCCCATTTTTTGACTAGATTGTTTATCTTCCCTTTGTTAAATTGTTTGAGTTCTCTATAAATTTTGGAGATTAAACCCTTATTGAAGATAACATTGGCAAATATGTTCTTCTATGCAGTGGGCTTCATTGTTATTGTGCTGATGGTTTCTTTTGTTGTGCAGAAGCTTTTAATTTTGATGTAGTCCCAAATATTTATTTTCTGCTTAGTTTCCACTGCCCAAGGAGCTGTGTCAGTAAAGATATTGCTACCACATATGTCTGCTATTATGCTGCCTATACCTTCTTCTAAGATTTTTATGGTTTCCCATCTTACGTTTAAGTCCTTTACCCACTTTGAGTTTATTTTTGTGTATGGTGTAAGTTAGTGTCCTAGTTTCATTTCTTTGCTTGTATCTGTCCAATTTTCCCAACAGCATTTATTGAAGAGACTGTCTTAACTCCATTGTATGTTTTTGTCTCCATTGTCAAATATTAACTGAGCATAATGGCTTGGGTCAATTTCTTGGTTCTCTGTTTTGTTCCATTGGTCTATTTATCTGTTCTTTTGCCAGTACCAGGCAGTTTTCAGTACAGTGGATTTGTAATATAGCTTGATATCTGGTACTGTGATCCCTCCAACTTTGTTGTTCTTTCTCAAGATTGTTGCAGCTATTCGGGGTCTTGTTTTTTATTTTATTTTATTTTATTTTTTTA